AATGTTGCTTCCTTTTTTTTCAACTGCCGTGTGCTGTCTAAAGGAGTGGGCAGCTCCTTTTTTTTCAACACCAGTGGGCTGCCACTTTATTCATAATTGGTGGATTAACATTTAGTGGCAACTTATAATTAGGGAAGAGATTTATAATTGAAGGTTGTGATTTAGTTCCCGTGACTTGGTCTTCAATGGAGCTGATTTAAATCAAGGGAAACTCTAAGGTACACACCTATAAAAAGGACAATTGACTTAGCTCCTCGTGCCCCTGTGTTTATGTCTGTACTTGTAGTTAAAAAATCATTTAAAAATATCATTTAATATTGTGGTTCAATGTAATTTGTCTACAATAATTATTTTTTATGTAAATAGTTGTGTGAGACGGTCCAACTATTGAATGGATTCACTCATTGTATTATTTGAACAAAAATAAATATTTATACTATCATATATGAAACTAGGGAAATACTATAGTCTCATATCAACTATTTCTGACGATTATATGATGATCTAACGGTTATAAATCTGACGGAATAATTCTGTAACGGGATCGTAATATTTTCCATGAAAATATAATATTCTCTAATTAAAATATGCGTATTTGCAAAAAAAAGTATGTCAGGTTAATTGTTAGGCTAGGTCTAACAAAAGACCAACTAAAAATTTAATAGTCTCATAATAATTATAGAGGTGTTTTATTGTATTTTTTGGCCGAAATTCTAATTCGCAGCCAAATTTGTCATAAAACTTGTCAATTTTTAAGCATTACGAAAACGATATCGACTAATGAGATTCGAGTAAGCTTACGTCTAAAATTGTCATAAAACTTGTTAAATTTAAACATTACGAAAACGATATCGAGTAATGAGATTCGAGTGAGCTTACGTCTAAAATTGCCAAAAAAAACTTGTTAAATTTAAACATTACGAAAACGATATCAACTAATGTGATTCGAGTGAGCTTACGTCTTTAGAGTTGCGATCTACTTTGAAATTAATTTCTAAAAATAAATCTAAATTGCAGAGATTGACAAAAGGTACCAAAAAGTATCTCACGAGAACAAGACTAGTAATCATAATATGGGGAAAACAAATGAGACTTGTATGAATGTGGGAATGGTTTCTTAAGGCAATAGAACTTGCTCACGGTAGTCCCCAAGTCTATATGACCATTATTATAACTTCGCATGCTTGTACCTAGGGACCAATATATCGGTACCACATCACACTGCACGCTCGATCTAACTTCTTATAAAAAGCTAGACGACATTCCGAAAGTTAATGGACGAAAATGAGAAACGACAAAAGGTTATGGGCAAAATTGCATAAAATTAGAAATTACTGTACCGAGTGCGTGCAAAAATGGAAAATGACCAAAGACAATGGTTAATATGTTTAGAAATATTTATTGGACAACATATATGTAAATTAGATGTGTATAGTTTTTATAATATTATTCAATTAAAGTGATTTATTAATTTGTAATTTTGAAAAAAGAGTGTATAAAATTGTTATGGATTTAAAAATGTAGATACTATTATGAGATTTTCTGCTTGTTGAGGTACCGAACTGAAAATGAAACAATTATTTATTTATTTGGTTATTGCCCAGACGACGAAAAGGTACGAGCAGATTTTGGAAGAGGTGCTTTCTCCCTTTAAAAGCAATCATCTTCATTCCAGACAAATATACGAGAAACATATGGAAATATATAATGATATATTCCAATACAAACTCTACGGATAAGGATATGTTATAAGGTTTCGATCATTTAGAAGACCATGCCAGTCCAACAAGATCGTTTAGAAGTCATTATCAACCCAAAAAAATTGAAGAACACGAGAATTCTCAATTCATGAAGTCCGGTACGCTTCCACTTTTATTTGGTTTGATTTTCAATTATTCGATATGAATGTTCCTGGGATAAAAGCGATGTTTTCATTCGCATAAGGTAAAAATTCCAACATAATATTGCAATTTTTCGCAACCTTTTCGCTACTCATTAGAGTTCAAAATCATGTCACACCCTTATTCCACCCGATAATACACCAGGGAAAAAAAAACAAACAATAAGCCAAGCCAGGGGCGGATGTAGATCGTAAACTGAGCGGGGGCCTAATTTAGTTTTATTTTTATTTTAAATTACCTTCATATTTATTCTTCTTATTAGCATTCATATGACAGTATATACAAAAAACACACATTTATATTTATTCTTACTAGTATTCATAAGACAATATCGTTGTATAATAATATCATTATATTTTTAAGCATATTTTATTTCGGCCCAACAATATTAGAATTCACCTCAAATAATTTTAGATTGAAAGTAGCGCAATTTGTAATATTTTCACATGCGCTTTTTTGTCGAGTCATTTTCTATAAATCTTTCACCAGAATTTGATAGTGAAAAATAAATTATAATTTATAAAATATTTTATCTAATATATCAAATTTTTAAGAGCCTTACAAATTATTATGTATAATATTAATATTTTAAATAATTAAGATACAACTATCGATTAACTACAAGAATGCTAGAAACATGAAAAAGTGTGTAACTTTTTCATTCAAATCTAATAATAAGAAAAGGTTATATGTATACCACCAAAATTAATAAGTATATGTATTTTTTCTCATTATCTCCATCTTGTTCTTTATTATCCTCTTTAAGGTATTGTTTCTTAATTTGTATAATTCTATTATTAATGAGTTGTTAATCTATTTTTTTAAGTCTTAGCCATAGTATTTTTTTTTTTCTTTTTTAGTGTGGGCCTAGGACCACACTAAGCACCATATACCTATGTCCCTGCCAAGCCTTCGACCGAGTATAGTCCATAAAATGGCGCCAACGAATTAGGGTTGCGCTTGGCTTTCGAGCTCGTAACCTCTTTGCACACCTTGTCTAAAATGCTAAAGAAACCCTTAATGGTCACGAAAATCGGCAATGGATTCGGCTTGTTAAGGCTCAAACGTAGTTCGTTATTAGTGATAAACCAATCGAACTTGGGCTCGACTTCAGACTCGTTTATTTTAGCCGAGCTCGACTCAGCTCGTTAGGGGTTCGACCTCTCGAGCTCGGCTCGACTCGTTTACATGCCTATATTAATTCTTCAGCTTAAAAAACAATGTATGGATACAAATTAATAAGATGAAATTGACAAGTGTACATTTAGGTTACATATATCAATCATCACACCAAAATCAATTTGTTCGATATGTACCTCAACTACCGGTATTTATTACAAAAATTATATTGGCTTTACCAAACATAAGTTAGGGAAAGTCTAGCGTTGTTAAATTAAACAAGTTTGACTATGTTCGTTAAGGCTCGAGGTCGAAGTCTTAACGAGCTGAGCTCGAACTCATTTAAAGCTTGTTTGATTAGCTCGTCTTGATAAGACTCGAAAGAAGAATTTTTATATAATTTTTTATAGTTCACTTCGTTAAAGCTCGAGATCGGCTCGTTATTTGTTAAGGTCGAGCTCGAGGCCTTAGCGAGCCGAGCTCGAGCTCGATTTATGGCTCGTTTACAGGCCTAGGGATAACTACATAATCCACATGGAATTTTGGGGAATAAACTGTGAGAGAAGATGACAATATGACATACGAATTAAAAACGAGAAAAGTAAACAACACAAGATTTACGTGGTTCGGCAATATGCCTACGTCCACGGCGGCTGAGGGATCTTTATTATTCTCAATAGTCTCAAATACATCAATACACCATGTATTTATACTAAAACCCCACAAGGTATAAATTTACTTAAATACCCTCCACTCCGCTCACTTCGCTCGGTCGCTCCGCTTCCCTCGCTACGTTCGCTCTGTTACGCTCGCAGGCATCAGCCTGCCTCCTTCCTTTGTCAATATATGAGCCATACCAACACAAACTTTGCCATTTCACATTTAAATATGTATATAATCTTCGCCATTTTTATTAGAAACACAAATGTACTAATGTTTAATTATTTTGTTGTTTAATATACTCTTAGGCTAAGCTTATAGAGCTTTTGTTCATAAACGTTACGTGAGAAAGGGTAACTTTCTCATTTTCTCATATAGTTTTTTTTTTTAGTTCTCATTTTCATGGCACTGCCCTTCTATCCACAAGTAACATGTTCCTTTCATAACGTTTTTTCGGGCCTTAATTAGCATCTTAAGATATGTTTGTGTGATCTAATTGATTCTACTTTTTGTGTTTTTTTTGTGATGATTGAGCTGAGTGATTGAGCTGATTTAGCAGTTGTGTTGGTTCATCTGTTTTGGATCTATTTGCGATTTTTATTAAGTCTTTGTTTTTCGTGTGGGTAGGCGTGGGAAGTGTAAATTGCAGTTTCTGAGTTAATCTGTTGAGAAAAAAAATAATAATAATAAAACGAAGAATTCGACCTTTGCGGCATTATAACAAACATATGAACTGCTCATATGAAGTGATAACGAGTCGAGTGATTTGAGTTGTGGAAATGAAGACCAGTACTTTGATTCACTGCCTTGGATTGCATATGTGGAAATTGCAAAAAAAAAAAATGGTAGAAAACAAAAGATAGAAGGGGCAGTCTGAAGTCTGAACAGTGAGAAATTAGAAACCTATATTGTGGAGCATTTATTTTTATTGTTTTTTTGTTCTAGTTTCTTCTATTTGTATGTCCAAGAGGTGGAAACACCGGAACAAGTCTGTATATGAGGTAACGAATAGAGTGTTTTTGGATGTCGATGTATATAAAACAACGTAATGGGTATGACCATAGTTATTATATTAATTCCATATCTCAGGCCAATTTCCGGAAACCACTGTACACAGTCTATGCAAGATCATTTTGTAAATTGTACGTGTTCTAGTTTTAGTGGAGCCATTGACATGTTCACTTTCAATTCTATGAGGTATAATTCGCGATAACACTCAAATGTGGTTAGATATTGTTACGAGGGTCGAGTCATCAAAGTTGTCACAACAGTAAACCTCAATCTTTTTTTTTTTTTTTATTATTATTTGTTTAAGGTGTTGTGTCCATGGTGAATTCAGGGCCTGATTTGATTCTAATGGCTCACAGTTTTTCACTACAACAGCCAAGGCTTACTGTTATGCATGGTTCCAAGATGGAGTTGTGAATAACATATTCACCTCTCAATTAAATTGCTTTGACTGATATATATTTGATTAGTATCTTTTCACGACATAAATGGCTATCTTTTATTATTGTAAATTGGCTCTTGAAAAAGTTTGTTCATTCTACCATATGCCTCCATGGTTTACATAACTTGTTCATGAAATGCACTGGTCGTGGATTATATGCAGACTCATATGCTTCCGCAGAATGTGAGTTGCTATCTCAGAAATAAACAAATAATAGTTGATAATCACAAGTTAAATAGCTTTTGCTTATAAAACCATAAAAGTTGAGTTAATTAAATTTAGAATATTTTGTATATTATTTGTAAAAAGAAGATAGCTGTGTCTCAACAATGTAACGATAAAGGCAGCAAGATATTTGAAAGTTCAACTTAAATGATCTGGTTAGATTTTGCTTGATGTGCATACACTTGCGTGTCAAAGTTGTTAAGTTATGGAAAATTGAGTTGAAAAACAGAAACTTAACGTTTTTGTATAATTTGTGCCGCAAGATATTTGAAAGTTCAACTTAAATGATCTGGTTTACTGGTTAGATTTTGCTTGATGTGCATACACTTCGTGTCAAAATTTGTCAAGTTACGCAAAATTGAGTTGGAAAACACAACACTTTTTATAGTTTGTGCTCTGCCTCCCGTGACTGTATTATGTGTTTTCTTCTGAATATATAGCAAGTCATGTATGGGAATATATGGGATAACCGTAGAGAAAAAAGATTAGCAAGATAGAGGGTTGGTAATAATCATTTTTCTTGCAATGAAAAATTAGTTTGGTAAAACCCATGTGCTGGGGTTTAATGTGAATATGCATTTTTATATAACAAACAATCAGATTATATTCGGAGCTTATAGCAGTTTGATAGGACATTAATTGATCAAATAATTTTTGTCTTGTAATGACATTCGCAAGAGTGTTCTGTTTGTTTTGCCCAATGATTTGCACTTGTTGTCCGTATGCAATTTGTCTCGGCTTCCATATGGAAAACATTTCAACATTTTGATGTAATCAGAAAGAAGAATATGAGGCTCAAAATCAAAGAACCAATTGAGCACGAATTGCCAACTTACCTCAATTTCTGATAAGTGTTTTGAAATGCTCCGATGCCCTCAGAGGACTTCCAAGTTCCGTGCAGTCAAAAGTATACTCTCTTCCCCTCGAATAATCATTTCATAACACTTCATGTACATATCTGTTTATATACATTATTTCTGCATACTTTCGGATGGGATGTATGAGACTCGTTTATATATCATTCAAATGTACTAAAGAACACTGTGGAGAGGCATCTCAAACTAAAAAGATTTCTCCTTTCCTTTCATGCAGCGACACTTGACGTCGAATTTCTTATAGATTAGTAGATTAAACTTTCACAACATAACAAGTTAGATTATCCGATAAGATATGCGTTCAATTATGATGAGTTCGGTACATTCATATATAGCTAGCTGCACAAAATTGGTAAGGGGAACTTCTTTTCATAGTGTGTGCACTGATTTTTTGATGATTTGCTTGGACAGATATATCTTTTTAGACTCTAATGCTTGTAAACTTGTGAAATTTTATTGATTCTCTTTGTCACATCTTGTTAATTTCAAGCGAAGTTACATTAAAACTAATATAGCCTTATCCTATATGTACTTGGGCCCAATTAAGGTATGCTCTGTTTTGATCATTACACTCCATGGTGGGGCAGTGCATGAGAAGAGATTTTAAAGTGGAATAGTAACTTTTTTCTTTCCTTTGCTTGAACGTGAAGATTATTCGAGCAATTCGAAGAGCTAAGATTTGAAGATTTCAAGGTTCTTCATCTAAATAGGGGACCATTTCACATGCTATATGTGTGAAATTCACCCGTGACCGTTGGATCAATACACACTTACTCTTGCACAGTTCGAGTGTGTGTGATTGGATGGTTAAAACTTAAAACCCCATGAGGGCATCGCCCATAGGGGTAAGATCGACTTTTCCATCTGGGATTAATGTAAAAAAAAAAAACTCGGAAATTCTTGAAAAATAAACATTTTTATCAATGGTAATTTTCATTTTTCCAAGTGAATACAAATAAAAGAATGTACTACTATGCAACATTCTATTCTATAGGGTCCCCCTCATAATAAATCATGAACCTATCTAATATGGTCCCAGTTGAAATATTGCACAACACAAGTGGCAAATTGACCCATCATATCCTATATAAACATCATACAAGAAAAATAAAATAAAAGAAACATCACTCATCCATAATTGTTCAACCATTCTTATCATCAAGCTCAGCTCAGCTAAACGAGAAAATTGACCATCATGGCTATGGCTTTCAAGATGGTAAACACACACACACACACACACACACACTCGTTCATATTACTTTTTGGATTTTATTTATTTATTTATAAATATTATTTAATTACAGGCGACGATGGGTATGAAGGTCGCCGAGGAGTGCAAGGAGTCTTTCATGGAGATGAAGTGGAAGAAGGTGCATAGGTACATAGTGTTCAAGATCGACGAGGGGTCAAAGCGGCTGACTGTGGACAAGGTGGGGCCCGCCGCCCAAGGGTACGATGATCTGGCGGCAGCCCTTCCGGACGATGATTGCCGATATGCTGTCTTCGATTTCGATTTTGTCACCGTGGACAATTGTCGCAAGAGCAAGATCTTCTTCATTGCATGGTAATGTAACGTTTTGTGTGTTTATACTCTATACAATTGAGTTTTATATCAGACTATTCGTAAATAGGGTTGCAAACGAACCGAGTCAAGTCGAGTATTGGCCTTATCAAGCAAGATTGAGTTTTTTTTTTTTTTTTGCATGCTTAAGCTCGATTTATGACGCTCGAGATTGACTCAACAAAAGAAGACAATCGCTCGAGCTCGGCTCGACATTGGTTGAAATAAAAATGCTCGAAAGATTGCTAGAGCTCGGCTCGAGTTCGACTCAAATTTCAAGTAAAATTACCAATAAGCACATATACTTAAATATTGTAATATTTATAAGGAGTATTTTTGTAATTCACTACATATCTCGAGCGGCTCGACCTTCCAAAACCTATGCTCGAGATCGACTCGATAACATGCTCAAGCCGCTCGAGCTCAACTTGAGTTCGGTCAAACTCGAGCTCGACAGCTTTGACTCGAGCAGCTCGAACCTCTCGATTCGTTTGCAATCCTACTTGTTGGTCAGCATACTATTTCTACAAATATACATACTTATCGTTATAAAATGTCATACTTCAAAAAACATCATAAACATAAATATGATAGGTTGTGACATTTGATAGTATATGTATGCATTTTTGTTCCTATAGTAGAGTGTGAGAGGCTGTCTCACACAAATTTGATTGAGTTATTAGTTACAAGAATTACTATGAGATTTATATATGATGAAATTTATGGAATAATTGTCTGTTGTGTTCTTAAGTTGTTAAAAATCAAACAATACCTGCAATAATTGGAACAGGCCATATTCATGATTGAACTACTTGAGTTGAAAAAAAAAAATATATATATGTTTTTGCTTTATTGAAAGCTAATTAATGACATGATTATCTTATTGATAAATAATTTAATAAACAAGACAATTGATGGGTGGTTTAAATAATTTATCAATTTGCAGGGCCCCAACAGCATCAAGAATTAGAGCCAAAATGCTTTATGCAACCTCAAAAGATGGATTGAGGAGAGCTTTAGAAGGCATCCATTTTGAACTCCAAGCTACAGATCCAACTGAAATGGGATTTGATGTCATTAAGGACAGGCTCATATAATTAATTGAGAATCATTAATAAAATGTTTGATTCCATGATTAATTTTTCACAATTAATCATTTATGATTTATCAAATCAATAGGAAGTGGGCTCATATCACTTCACTTTGTCTAATTAATTTAATAATTCCACTTATCACTTCACCTAATTAATTTAATTATATGCCACTTTGACATGTTAATTCTACCATCAATTTAAGAACATAAGAAGTTATGGTTACTATTATTTGAAGTTAGCATGACATTTTAGACTATGTTTGGTAGACCAATAAGCTAGCTTATTAGCTTATTTGATTAGTTTATAAGCTCCTTATATTTAAATAAGTTTCGTTTGGTAGGACGAGTTTATTTAAATAAGCTCGTTGAAATTTTTATTTTAGGCTTCAGCTAGCTTATCAGCTAATTTCACTTGGGCTATGTTTGGTAAACCAATAAGACTATGTTTAATAAAACTAGCTGATAAACTAGCTTATAACTTATCAGTAATTTTTTAGCTTATAGCTTATGACTTATGGCTGATAAGTTGACTTATATGATAAAAGTGTTTGGTAAAATTAGCTGATAAGCTAGCTGGAATAAAAAATTCAACTAGCTTATTTGAAAAGCTACCTAATGAAGCTTATCAAATAAGCTCGTCCTAGCAAACGAGGCTTATTTAGATACAAGGAGCTTATAAGCTAATCAAATAAGCTATAAGCTAGCTTATAGCTAATTTGATTAGCTTATAAGCTCCATGTATTAAAATAAGTCTCGTTTGGTAGGACGAATTTTTTTAAAAAACTCGAGCTTATCCCATAAGCTACTTTAGGTAGCTTTTCAAATAAGCTAGTTGAATTTTTATATTTCAGCTAGCTTATCAGCTAATTTACCAAACACTTTTATCATATAAGCTAGCTTTTCAGCTATAAGTCATAAGCTATAAGCTATAAGCTCAAAAATTACATATAAGCTATAAGCTAGCTTATCAGCTAGTTTTACCAAACATAGCCCAAATACTTTTATCATATAAGCTAACTTTTCAGTTATAAGTCATAAGCTATAAAGTATAAGCTCGAAAATTATTAATAAGCTATTAGCTAGCTTATCAGGTATCATGTAGTTTTACACAACATAGAGCCAACTTAAGAAAAAAATAAAAACGCAATGACGATGAAAAATGTATTATATGAAATGTTGCATAGTTACATAAAGCTGGCAAATCAATTTTTCTATAGATAAATAAATACATAGTTGTCCGAGCCAAAGTGTCACATTAATTTAGCATACGAAAATCTATACTTATATAAAAAATACATTCTATTTACTATAATTAGTAGTAAGAAAAGTTAAAGATAATTAATGCATTCTATTTCCATCAAGTATTTTATTTAATTATTTTAGTTAATTGTTTTATCTCATAAAACCTTTTCAATACAACTTATCATGATTTTTCTATTGTGATTAAAAACTAAATTTTACGTTTAAAATCTTGTGAAATTATTATTATTATTTTTATAAAGCACATTTTATTTGTTAAAAAAATGTATATATCTATATATAATACACATCACAGTACCATGGTAGATGATTTAAATTTCAACCGATCAAAATGCCAATGATTTAAATTTGAACACACCTATGCGTTTGACCAAATGTCTGGATGATTTAAAATTGAGTCCATAAAAAAAATATTTAAATTTAACACAACAAAAATTTTATGTACTTTTTATTTATAAATATATTGAAAGTGGTATTTAATGGTTGTTATATAAACTATATTTTAATATATTTGAAATGAATAAAAGTTTGAATAAATAATTTGTAATATTATTCATAATGTTCGTGACTTATGAGACACGAACACATAACTCTATATATATTTGTCAGAGGGCGGCTTAATAATTTTTTAGACTTAACGTTGATTAAAAGAGGTAGAAAATAGATAATAACATTATTACTTTTTGGAATTAAACAGACAAGGCTGTGAAAATAACTCATTTAATATCTTTGTCCCATGCATGGATACGTACTAATTATAATTATAAGAATCACAATTCATACCAAAAAAACATACATTAATTGTTCAAAAGTTCTTATTTCTTTTAATAATTCTGAAATGTCCTACTTTTTTCACTTTTGCAGTTGGGCTCACTCCAACTTAATTAAAAATGTTAGTCATCTAATCCTGTTCAATCGGTTACCCAGTGGGCCTATAGAGCCCATTGAATGATATATGGATATTGGATAGAGGAAATTATATGGGGAACGACTTAACAGTAAATTATTTGCATTTATACGGTTAAAACATAAATTTTAGCATAATTACAAAATACTGAAACTTTATTTGTTTATATACTATACAATTAATATAAATACAGTTTCCAATAAAAAATCAAAACTAACTCCCCAAAATCAAGTATTATTACTCTTTATCTCTCCCACGACTAAACCAATTACTCCTCAATCGTATGTCTCTTCAGTAAACCCTACTCTTCACTTTTATGGCCAAAACCAAGATTCCTCCATAGCCGGTAACCCCCCCAATCGCGGCGCCGGTGTGGATGCATATAAGCGGTGTGGACTCAGAAGGCGGCGTTCGCCGATTCGAAGTGGAGGACCTGCAAAATGACGAGCGCGGAGCTTTTCCCCAAACAGAATAAAACAACGTTTACAGAGGCCGAACTGGGTTCGCCGAAGTTCTCGTGTATGGGGAGAGTCAGGTCGATGAGCGGCCGACGTCGTGCGAATCCACCGGGATGAAGGGAAAAACGACGGATAAATCAGGAATTGGCGGCGGCGAGTGGAGATCCGGTTTCTACGCCAAGGTAATAGAGTTTTATGTTTTAAGAACGGGAGTAGGAGACCGTTCCGGTTGGGGAGCGGGAAGGTGGTTGAAGGGCCGTAGGAGGAGGAGGAGCCGCCGCAGAGGTGTTGCAAGAAATCCGTAGATCAATCTGAACATTGAAATTAGTTTATGATCAGTATATGTACAATATATGTACAACATATGTACATATATTGTGCACAATTATTGTACATCTTAATTTATGTTTGGTATTTTAGTTTATGTACAAATTAGTTTCTAAATGGATGCTTGTTTTTCCGTTTTCAATGTTTTTCATAGTATATGTTTGGTATATTATAAGATTATTTTGTTCAAACGAAATGGACAAGCATAATTGAATTTTTTTTTTTTTT